TTGAATGACTATAGTTTCTCTTACAATGTACACATTATTACATTCATGTATCCTATGTGCCTTGATGCTTGAATGAGTAAATTTTTTGACAATTTAAGGAGCATCAGTACCACATTCCACTTGATCACGTTCTGGAACTCGTTTAACGCATTTTGCGAATAACCATCGCTTTTATTTAGGACAATGGGAGTTGTCTGCATACGTTTGGGTGAGGGTCATAGGGAACTTTTGTTTTTCTCGTAGATCCAACAATTGCTTGACAAAGCTTCCGTTGATGTAGTGTACAGTTTGTTGTCAAGGCCTAGCTAACAAGCACATGACTGCGAAGAATTCTAGAAAGAGCAAAGCGCACGTTCTCTTGTTTCAGTTCTCCTGACAAGCGAAAATGATATACTGCTTTGTTTGTGTGGTGCTGATATCAAGAAAAGCTTAACGATAAAATGTGAGTGATAGTCCCCCATGCGTCTGTTGTAGAAGGCAAAGAACGGAACTTCTTTATATCCAAATTGTATGAGACTTTGGAGCAATAATTTGATAAGGATGAGAGATATACGGTAACTAATTATCGAGAAATATACAGAACAAGTACATCTAACTGAATAAAAGAAAAACCCGCAATGACTTTGAGAAACCATAGATGACTGATAAGCTAGGTAGAAACAGATTGCAGTCCAGGATCAGTTGAACATGGAATAGGATTCGAGACCAACAGTTTCGCGGAAATCGTCGGAGTTCGGTCATTACCCGATAACTGTTATTGCAGTGAAGTGAAACCTAATGAAAAGAACAAAAGATAATACTATGCATGCACTATAGCATTTTTGATGAATTACAAAAAATACTTCTATAGTTTAGATGGATCGCTGAGCTATTGTGATATCATGTCAAGGAATAGAACTGAGAGCCCTAATGAAATAAGGAGGTAAGAACCTATCGGTATCAACTTATATAAAATCTTAGTAGCCCGCATAAAACGGCGCAGTGACGTGTACATGTTGTCACGAGAATTTTTGCAGTTCAAGGAAATTCAGTATGCAAGGATGACTAGCAATAAAGCACTTGAATTTGTGTCGTTGACGGGGATAAAGCTAGATTTGGTTCGAGTGTGGAAGCTTTTTTTGCATGGATAAATCCTCACACAGAGGGTAGATATCGATCGTCATCGGCTCGCTGCATCAGCAGGGCTTCGTGAGCAGTCTGTCTTTGACGAGTATTATTATCCTCGCGTCGTTTTTGCCTCCTCCGGTTTCCGACCACCAGAATTATCGCCGTCAGTAAAATTGCCCCAATAAGGAGACCTATGACGATGTACGTGAAGATCGAGGATGGAATAGTCAGACCAAGGAATGAGAACGAGTTCTGGAACAAGCAAACTTTTGTAGTAAAGCTGAGATTCCGAGAGAAATCAAAGTTACGCTAATTCAAAGCGACGCACTTTGTGCCTCCGCTCCCTGTCCATGGCAGAATTTCGCAGTGCTTGGGACGACTCGGTATAGGTAGGACTATTTCGGGTATAGAGCGATTTGCATATATGATATGGATAATCCGCAGGATTGTGATGACAAACGCAACTTGTATTCGATGAGCTAAAACATCGCACTGACAAGGAAAAAGCAGAAACGCAGACTTCATCAATTACCTGAACTCCGGCTCGCCGTTTTTGCATGTCAGATGATCGCAGAAGTCGCTTGGCTGATTGAAGCAACACGTACACCTGAGAAATTTGGTTTGCGAAAATACCTCTGAAGAAAGTGGAGGTCTAGCTTATACATGGTATTGCTCACAGCATTCACAAAAGACCTAGACATAGACTTGTGTTTCCACAAGGACATGCATTTTGCGAGCGCTTGATGCTTTTTT